CCCCCCCCCCCCCCCCCCCCCCCCCCCCCCCCCCCCCTCGCGCCCTCCCCCCCCCACCCCAACCACCAGCACTGCCTGCTCTTGAGAGAGTGCGACAGCCACGGCACTGAAGGTTTAAATTCTGGATGAAGAAGAAGAAGCAGACAGAGGAAGCAGTGTTTTTAATCGGACTTGGGGAAGAAAAGACGGGAAAGCAGGAAAGAACAGCAGGTCAGTGAAAGATCCAGCAAGCATCTCAACATCAAGCCCCAGACTGTAATATATTGTGCCTGTTAGCACCAACACAAACACGGCAGCCTGCTGAAGCTAGCCTTAAGGTGGAGCAGAGAAGATACACATCGCTACATACTTATCGGTACCACTCTTAAACCGTGAGAATTACACGGAATATATATGCCGAAAAACGTGCATATATTAAAACGCTAATAATTTTTTTTTATTAAATATTCACATGTGCCACACACACCTCTATAAGCAATACATAGTCTTGGCTTTGTGCGTTTAGTCTAATCTTTTTGTGTGTTTAGTCTAATCTTTTTGTGCGTCATCTTTTTGATAGCATGAGGCTATATACCTCACTTGGACGTTTCTTTAGACAAAAGTGTCTGGAACGCAAAATAAATGTAAATGTGGTCACAAAGCTGACTCTTTAATCACTGCACCTCCTGCTGGCTCATTGCTGCACCCAGCTTTCCTTTTGTCGTACAGGATAAACTGCAATTCCTCTGTGTGTAGTATAGATTTCTTCCAAGGGCCCAGGGTTTCACCCGTTGTGGGTAATAAACCACAGGGTCTGTCCAGAGGGACCGCATGCATGTAATATGTGTTGAATATTATAAGACCTGCCCAGTCTACACCATACAGTATTACACTTCTTTTTCCTCCCTCACTGTCACTCACTGGCCCACATTTAGGATCACAAAACCACGCTTCTCTGTCCTCAGTTAATCTGTCTAATCGTATATGACGACCTTTGGGGCGATAGGTTTGATGGGAACGTTCTCTTTTCACGTTTCCTCCCTTCCAGCTACGTGCGAGTTATTCTAAGCTGATCGAAGCACAGAGAACTAAAATTATATTTAATAAACAGATATGAAAAACCAGGTCAAACAAATACAAATTTAACTTTAGTGGGTCACGGGCAATCCGCAAATTCCGCTTAATGAGTTATCATGTAGTTACGGTTTCGATAGTGGGTTCAGTTTTCAGAAGAAAATGCAGTCAAACTGTACGTGAACATGGTTTTATATGTTTCATCAATAACAGGGAATGTAAACTATCACGCAGTTTAAAATGACCCGACGTTTAATTACTAGCTGTGTTCTCAATCCAAAGCAATCAAAGTGACTTATACGGCACCACCTTAAGAGTTTTCGTTACTGAAAACTCCCTCTGCTTTCGGATTGGCTAAATGCAGTTCTGATTTCAGCCAATAAACTTCGCAGTGCCCCACGTTGGGTGGTGACATCATGAAGAAAAGTAGCCACTCAAAGCATCGCTGACCCAAACGCTCACCGCCCACGACGGCAGGGGGAGCCGCGGTCCATGAGGATTGTGGTCAGTGAAGTTCCAATTGTAAATATCGCCCGTCTTTAGATCAGTTTTCTAACGAATTCCATTTTCATAACGGTCAGATAAGTGTAAAGTCACGTTTATTTATTTTTTCTTATACACACTAATAGCAAAGCTTTGTTTATAATTATGTATATTTTGTGTATCAAAAAACAAAACATATTATGAATCAATGTATGTGCAAGGAAACCGAATTGATTAAAGTATTTGTATTATACACCGCCGTAGAAAAGAGACCTAGACAATCTAAACGAATTACTAATCTCATTTGAAATGAGAAATCATTCATAAGATCTAGGCCTGCCTTTTATCGGATTTACCTGGCGGTTTTAATGCGGACTCCAGTGAATACGCACGCAGACGAAACTCGGCACACGAGTATCGATTGGCCTGAGTTGAAGTACAACAGAACTGACTCATGTGCTGGAGCAGCGTTGTCCTTGTCCCTGTACGTCAATATTTTATATGGGGTAAATGTAGGGAAAATTGTATAACGTAAAAATATCATACTTGCATGTTAGAATGTATCTTTGTTTCATAGAAACGGAGATATGCTCGCGAATTTTCCACAGTAATAATATTAAGTTACTAATTTGTGATTCGAGTCGATATATTTGTGTAAACATTAGCTACAGATAAATAAAGCAATTGGTGAAATGGTTCTCTGTTGCTCTTAGAATTTACATGAATGAGACTCGATTGTTTTCTGCGGCTTCATTTCGGAGAGTGGGCTGCTGGTCTGTAGTTTGCAAACATGCCATTCAGAAAGTGCTTTTTGGATCTGTTTAATAATAAGACATAACGTCAATCTGTTCTCACTATCCAAATTTTAATCCAATTTTAAACATGGGTTTATACCAGAAAAGATCACCCATGAGGAAATAACAAATGTGGACTGCTAATGTTTTGTCTTGACTCCAGATTACATGACGTAACTGACCTAAAAACATCCCCGAATTTGCCGAGTGTGTGTATCTTACACGCGCTGCAGTAGTAAAGCGGCGCGTGCCACTACAATTGCCTATAAAGCAATGGAACCAATGTTTGGGCTGACGCACGACTTAATAAATGAACCTAATTAAGAGAAGTCGCTGGACTGGAGTGCTGGAATCGCAGCCAGGTTATTAAGCACGCTCCGCAGACAGTATGACAAAAACTGAAACGAATGAGGGATGAAACCTGCTGTCTTTGGCTGTCAATTAGCTTTAAAAATGGCTGCGCTCAAAATGAATTCCTGGTGTGACGTCTAAGCTGGAACACAACTAACAATCACCTGTGTACCTGTAGAGAGTGATGCTACTTTTGGTCCAAACTACTGCAATATCCAAATACCAAGAAGCTGTTTGTTCAGTTAGTTAAGGTGATGGATCCAGGAAGAAATAATACAAAATGTGTGTTTTGTAAGGATAGCAATGTATGTTATTTTAATGGTCATTGAGGCCATCAATGTAATCATCAACGAGCCTCTTCTTTAAAATCCATCTGAGGTGCTACTTAATACATAAAGTTAAAGAAAGAGTAGCTGTTAGATATAGATCCTGTAAGACACCTGGGATATTCCATCATCCATCATCCATCATCCATCCATCCATCATCCAGCAGAGGCCACATTCTGAGCAGAGATTCCCCGACCTCCCTCTCCCCAACCAGCTCCTCCAGGGAGATTCTGAGGGATTCCCATGTCAGCCAAGAGATATAATCTCAAGTGTGTCCTGGGTCCATCCCAGAGTCTCGTCCAGGTTGGACTTGCCCCAAGGACGACCTCAGGAGGAACATCCCATGTAATTTAAAAAAAAAAAAATGTCATGATGGTCTGGCAGCCCAGCTGGCTTCCTCACACCTTCAGGATCAGAGGTTCGATTCCTGCCACCAGCTTAAATGTTCTCCTTGGGCTTAAATGTTCTCCTTATTTTTATGCCGGTTTCCTCCAGGTGCTCCTGTGTCCCGCAGTCTGAAGTCACGCAACCAGGTAAATGGGAGCCACCAAGTTCCCTTTCGTGCGTGACGGTGTGCGCTGTCATGGACCGACATTACATCCAGGATGCCCCCTGTCACAAGCCAGAACTAGGAGAGGCTCTGCACTCACCGTGACATGGTACTGGAAGTGGCTATGGAGGATGGATGCATGCGTGTAAATTATGGGGGAGCTGTAACCCCTCCGATAGTCAAAATCAGCCAATAATCACCCCCTGGACCCCCTCCAATCGGTGGAGACCTCAACCCCCCCAATGGCCAACCCAAAGTTATGCCCTCGGATGGATGTTTTAATGTAACACTAAGCAGCATGATTAACATTATTATCCTGAGCTTTGAGAAGGAAAAAAAGCACTTTTACATACATTTTTACACACGTTGCTTGTGTTTTCCGAGAGGCAGCTAAATTTTTCTGAATGCTTGCCTCTGGCCTGGCTTTACCGTGCCCCTAATCGGGGTCACACCTTTGGCATCAAGGTTTGCTGCCAAACCTCTGCCATGAGCCGTGCCAGGTCAACCAGAGCTCTTTCTGCTCTCTCAGATGCATGTACGGGAAAAAACCTGTTTCTCTGCTTGACTTCACCCAAGAGCTCAGTTCAAAATCACAGCCCATTAGGGCTGGATATTTGTAATAAAAATGATAAAAGGAGACTTCTCATATATATTACACCACAATCCCACCCAATAAAAAGAGAGCTGATTGGCTGACACATGCGGGTAAGGAACGTAGTAGATATAACCAAAATCGCCACCTCTACACTAAATGGGCAACTTTCTCGGCACCCTAACCATACGCAAAAATACATACAAACAAATGTAATTCCCTAAAAATGTCTGCAGGTGATTCCCCCAGCGCTTTTAGCCCGGTGTATTTTTAAATCACATGGACACCGCACACGTAAATACTTAGAATATAAATTCCTGACAAGACTCTCTTGCAATTTTATATGTTCGAGTGTAACAGCAACCCTCATGGTTTGAGATGCCTAAACCATTAAATCACTAAAGCGCCTCCCTAAACATCACTAATACCACTATAGGTCTATTTTTAAAATTTCCTCCCTTCGTGGGGTTTGAACCTGGAAGCTTTATAAATCACACTTGTCCCTCCTTACGCAGAAGCCCGCACTGCTTCTTCTCACATGTTATGCTGACTGGAGGCAGGCAGACTGTCTAAAATAATGAGTGGGGGGGTGGCGGGGGTGGGGGGGTAGTTGTGAACTTTCAAGCAGAATCCAATCTAATTAGAAATCAGTGAGTAAAGATTTCACAACTTTTTGCTTTCCACATACAACTCATTATTTATTTGGATGGGATGTCATTGTTTCTCCATGCTGTCTAAATAATATTTTTTTTTTTGTAAAAATGAGATGTCTGTCGACTGCATGCACGACTACCTACTTATAGCGTCTACCTGTTGCAATGAATTCTGGGTAATTAAAATGGCCGAGCAGAGTCAGCTTCCAGTTCTCTTCCTTCAGGTGAGGGTCAGAGTCCGGGACCTGAAACATTCAGATAGGATTGTTGGGGGGGAAATGCACCAGCGATGTGCAAGAAGTGTGGACAGAACCTAGCAACCGTGGACGGGAATACGGCTAATGGGCGTACATCATCGGGAAGCCTCCGGAGGACCAGGTGCAGGAAGACAACCATCTGAATTTGAGTGCCAGCAGACAGGCATTTCAGCTCCTGGGTAATGGGCTGAGTGTGAGACATCAATGCACAACTGGGGAGTGAGAGACTGGGTTGGCAGGCGGCCTCATGGGCTCGGCTCTCCGTAGCCCTCTGCATAATTTATAGCGTGGCGTTATAGATACCGGTGTGTAGATGGAGGGGTGTGATTGAGGGATAGAAACAATGCAAAAGAAGTGCCATGTCAGTTTGGCCCCAGTAGCAGATGCTCTCCTAGCACAAACCCCTGTCAATACTGCTATCAGATGTGTTTTAATCAATGCAAAAAACCAATCAGTACTTTCACAGCTCCCCTTTTGATCAATTACATTTTTTACTGATTTAAAGATCTACTGGCGACTAATCTGGGGCGACACGACGGCGCGGTGATTAACTCTGCCGCCTCACGCCTCTGGTATGTGCGTTCCAGTCTCTGCCAGCGTGGAGTTCGCATGTTCGGCCCTTGTTAGTCATGGGGGTTTTCTCCAGGTTTCCCCACGCAGTCCAAAAACAGGCTGAGGTTAGCTGGAGTTGCCAGGTTGCCCATAGATGTGTGGTGCCCTGTCCTGGGCTGTTCCCCGCTCTGTGTCTGTAGGTTCCCCATGACCCTGAAAAAGCGGCAGAGGTGGAAATTTCAGGTCCAGAAAGTACAAATTCAGGCCAAGATTTTGTTTCCACCAATCAGTTGAGCATAAAGAGTCACAGACTTGGTTGCAACAAAACCATGGTCTGGATTTGTACTTTCTGGACCTGAACGTTCCACCTCTGATAAGCAAGTTACAGAAAATGGAATGATGGTGAATAATCCAAACCAGTTTTGCTGCCCAGACACCAGTATTATTCCAAAATGTCCACACTGGGCTCCTCTCTACATGAGTATGTATGTAAATTGTAATATGCTGTCCTTGCTGGAATTGAGCACTGAACTGCCTGACTGTAACCTGTCAAAGAAAGAGAATCCATTACGTCATCCTGCTGTAACAACTAATCAGAGAACATGCGGCATGGCAACTACAAAGCAGTGTTAATGGAACCATGCGCCGACGGACAAGTGAATGAGGAGAATGGCTGGAGGATGACAAGAGTAACGCTGCCAATCTGGCTTTTGCAGAAAGTCATGCTGCCCCCTGTAGGGTGAATGAGTGGATGCATTGCAACATTTATTATACACAGGCAGAATATTCCCATTCGTGAATCCATCTGGATTCCTTTGCAAAGAACTAACAAAGCCTGTTTACAGAGGCTGAAGTCTGTGGTCTCATTCTGTGCGGAAATAGAAAGGCTGAGAAAACAGGAGCTGTTTAGGTTAAGCAGGACTAATTTCCCCTTTGAAAAAGACGTATATTGTGAGGAATAAGGCAGAGTCAGGTAGACAGACTGCAGCTCAGGCAGTAATGCAGCTCCCTCTCTTCTCAGCACTCCTTGTGTCTCTCCTGTGTTTGCAGATGCAGCTCGGCTTGCTGGCACGACGCCAAGGCCGTGTCACGCTAATTAAATTCAGCGGCCAAAAGACCTCCATCTTCTGGGAATCCATTCCCCATAATGATATTAACCCTTCCATGAATAGGGATTTAAGCAGACACACAGCAGCTCACAGACATACATACACGTTGAGTACTGAAAACAGGGACACACGTACAGGAAACAAGCAGTCTTCCAGAATATTGATCATAAACACATTTTGGAATATTGGTTTGCCATACCTGCAGTGACTCACGGTTTTTAGCAATCTGTTCCCAGAACAGTTTCGCTCGACTTACCTGAAAAGCGTCTGCTGACATCAAAGTGTATGCAGATGTGCATAACATCATCACTAATAGTGCCAAGATATGAGAAATGGGATGCAATAAAGTCGAGTGGAAAGGGGCCGGGGACACGATAATACCCAACAGTGCCAAGGCCCACGCCCGATTCAGACCACCCTCAAGGGCACCTGGTGAATGTTGCCTCACACACTGCCAACACCATAGCAATTATATGGGGGAAGGAGGGGTCAGTCACCAGGCAACCACATATCCAACTGGCAGAGAGCAAAATGAGGGAGAACATGTGAAAGTTGATTTGATTTAAAACTCTTTTTAATTTTTTTTTTTATATCAGTACTGATACAGTATAGGGACACCTGGCCATTACACCCACAGGGACTTTTATGACATTCCAATTCTAAATCCATAGGCATCAAAGTGGAGTTGCCCCCCCCCCCTTTGCAGCTATAACAGCTGCCCCTCTTCTGAGATGGCTTTCCACAAGGTTTCTGGAGTGTGTCGGTGGGAATTTTTGCACATTCAACCAGAGGAGTATTTGTGAGGTCAGGCACTGATGTTGGACCTGAAGGCCGGACTCACAATATCCATCCCCAAAGGTATTTGATGGAGTTGAGGTCAGGTCTCTGTGCGGCCCAGTCAAGTTCTTCCACACCAAACTCACCCAACTATGTCTTTATGGACCTTGCTTTGTGCACTGGGGCACAATCATGCTGGAGCAGAAAAGGGCCGCCTTCCCCAAACTGTCCCCACAAAGTTAGAACCATAGAATTGTCCAATAAGTGCTTCCTTCACAGGAACTAAGGCACCCAACCCCTGAAAAACAACCCCATACCATTATCCCTCCTCCACCAAACTTTACAGTTGGCACAATGTTGCCAGGCAGGTAACGTTCCTCTGACATCCAGCAAACTCAGACTCGTCCATCCGACTGCCAGACAGAGAAGCGTGATTTGTCACTCCACAGAACACGTTTCCACTACTTCAGAGGCAAGTGGCAGTGTGTTTTACACCACTCCATCCAACGCTTGGCATCGTGCTTGATGATGTGAAGCTTGCATGCAGCTGCTCAGCCATGGAAGCCCGTTCCATGAAGCTCACAGCACACAGTGTTTGTGCTGGAGTTAATGCCAGAGGAAGCTTGGAATTCTGCAGTTATCGAGTCACCAGAGCGTTGGCGACTTTTATGCACGAGGAGAGAAGGCAAGCTAGAAGGAATGGGAGGGAGAGAAGATAAAGACAAAGAGAGATGGATGGAGGATGGACAAATGAAAGAAGGGATAGATTAAATGAATGAGAATTTAAAAAATGAAAGGCGTGAGAGAGGCTTCTGAGGGAAATACCATTAGGACAGAATACATCATGACTCTGTATCTGGAAAATTCTTGGCTCCTAGGATATCAGACTGTCATACTACGTGATCTCAAACACCAGCACCGTCACTGATGAAGTTTCTCCCCCCTGCTAGTCTTTGACAGAGTTGCAGAGGAGGCTGGTGACTGTTCCAGGCAGTGTGTCACACAAAGTTAGGTGGCACCCTGGACTCACTGTACTGTCAATTTAGAGATGCCAATTAACTGCATACCTTCAGAGTGTGAGAGGAAACTGGAGAGCTCAGAAGAAACTAGTGTGACATGCAAACTCCGCATACAGTGCTGAACAGGGGTTCAAAGCCCTAGCCACGTCAGTATACGGAAAGTGATTATGATGTTTTATTTACCATTTCTACAAGTTTGACTACAGCTACAATGGTCTGTGCCAATTTTTGTATTTTTCTTTCATATTTTAAAGTAATAAAAATGAAAAAAGATATGTATACTCCCCGTCGGGGAATCGAACCCCGGTCTCCCGCGTGACAGGCGGGGATACTCACCACTATACTAACGAGGAGATGACGACGAGTTCTTGAATTGATCACCTATTGAGGAAACTTTCACCATGTAAAATGTGATTATATTTCTTCAATTCTGTTAAATTGTGGCCAGTAGCATACTGAACGTATTAAGAATAGGGCGCACACGAAGGTAGAGGGGAGAGGTCAGAGAGTTGAGGTGAGCTGTATAAACGGTATAAACTCGCCAAAAAACGTTTGATTGAATTATACATATAACACATTTGCAAGTACATCTTAAAATGTTCAGGGAAAAAAACACAGTTCACTTTCAGCTAACAGTACACAGACTTACAAAGTCTTCCAACCAGACAACAGCATAGAGAAACACTGAAAGCCGAATGAGTTTTCTGGAACAACACCTCCCTCTAGTGTACAAAGGCGGAGGTACAGTTAGTTCCTCGTGAATTGTTGAACCAATACCTACTTTGTTTTGTAATAAGAATTCCACATTGAACACTTAAAAAAATCTTTGCTGGAATTAAAGAAAATTTTCAAATTTCCAATACATTTAAATGTGTCCTACAAAGAGCCAGGAGAAACTGTGGCTATTTTATGGCAAAACAATAAAAATTAAAACTCTGTAGTAGTACTGACGCTACCCACATGTGGACAGTGATGGTTTACCACTTGACCCACGCATGCCCCCTGTTGGCCACAAACAGTCACTACATTAAATATTAAATAAATTCGTCCCATATTTAGGAGATGCTGAAGCAGCCTGTTCTGCTAACCAGTTAGCTACTCATTCGGCATTTATTTCATTTTTGAAACATTTGGGGGAGGGGCCAATGACGTTTTGGGTGGGGCCCTAGAAACGGGAAACCCACCATTGCATGCATTTTGATAAAACCACAAATCTGGGGTGGAACGTAAAACAACATAGCTAAGGCCAGGCATTGACCAAAAGTGAAAACTCCAGAGTGCACATTGTACTGGAAGTGTCAGAAAGTGCGCGTTGAAATGACCTACAGCCGGTCTTCATCCTCTCTGAGACGTCTCGCTTGTGAAGGTCCCCTTGTCAGGTCACATTGTACTGAGAATTTATGAGCCAGACTGAAAATTTCACTCTTATACCCATTGATATTTATTAGAGTTAAGTATGGGAACCAAGGACGCAGAAATGCTGCCCATGGCTGCATTTAAAACCTGATCACCTTTCTGCGGGTCTCCCCCAAACACTCAGGAAACGCAAGTCAGCATCATCTCATCAGTCTGTTCCTAAGACACCCTTATCACCCAAGGCCAAGACCAGCTTGCAGCAACAACTGAAAATTCCATAAAGAATGTTTTTTAACAAAAGACGACACTCCAACATGACCTCTGTTGAGTTTTTATTTGTAAGGCACCATAAATACTTCCTTACTGCTGAACATTACTGTCCATTTATCGTAAATGACTTTTTGTTAACGTTTTGTTTTAGCGGTTTTTCTTTAATGAAGCTATATTGGATTTCAATAACACAACATACATTTCTGCCAAGTACACACTTTAAAGATTTACATACAACACAAAATAAAGAGATTAAAAATGACCTTTACAAAGCTCAAAAGGGTCGGCATGTTTCACACCACCACCGTTAATGATGCAACTGGCGGCAGTTGGGGGGGGGGTGTCGTTAGGAGATGGGTGAGGGGCTTGAGCAGGGGGCGGGGAATTTAAGAATGCAGCCAGTCTAAGTGGTGCATCAGTACTGCAGTACACAACAAAATTATCCAGCACAGACACAGAAGATGCAGCCTAAAACATACAAAAATGTTAAAAAATTATATGTATATTGATATATATATTTATATATGTATATAAATTGGCCCTTCACAAAACACACACAGACCATTCATATGTCTGAATTAAATATTTCCTGCTTGCTTTGTTGAGTCAAAGGGGGTGGGGTCGGGGGGGCACCTCAGGTGCACTGAAAGGATGCAGAGAGGCGTGGAGAGATGGAAATGTCACTTTAAGCGTCGAGAATGGCTGGCCGCCCTTCGCACGGCTGGCTATCTGACCCTGAAGGGCACAGAGCGCCCCCACCAGGCCGGAAGGTCTCCAAGCTCAGCCCTGCCTGAGTCACTGACTGAACTACATGTACATGGGTGCATACTACACGCATTTACACGCGTGAGCAAACATGTAAACATGTACTTGGATACGCCGGTGGCCAGTCCTCTCTGCGTGACATCGGAGATATTATCCAGGTGTGTCCACACTCAAACAAACAAACACACACACACACACACACCCCTATGCACATACATGTAAGTGAATGCTGAATTGAGAGTTTTTTGACTTTCAGATGTCAAATGTCAATTTCAGGTTGTTCCCTTAGATCCCAGGACTATTTTTAAATGTAAAAATAGTAACAATATATATATTTTTAAACTCAACAGGGCCTCAATTTTGCTACAGCTCAGACTTACTGAGCTACACATTTGTGCTGTTTGGGAAACTCAACCTTGTACCAGTTCGGTGTCTTTGTAATTGTCTTGTCATAAACATTAGTATTATTATTACAATATGTTGTATGAACTGATAAGTCTTCACTAGGAGGTCTCTGGTGAAGTCAAACATGGAGGGGACCATTTTTATGCCTTTATACTGGGCTTTCCTGTGCACCAAGCGGAACGGGCCGGGTCAGTGTTCTCCATTGATTTCACAGCCGCATCATTCAGTGCTAATCAAAGCAAGGAACCAGTGGGACCCAGGACCACTGCGCATGTCTGGGCCTCACCACTAACTCTGAAAACACTTATCTAGCATGTCGATTTTATTAGGTTATTATACAGGTAACTTCTATTCTGTTAATCTGCAAATATTGTTTCAGAAAGAAAGAACTGATGGACAATACCATCCGTTTATTTTACCCGGGGGGGGGGGGGGGGGGGAACAGAGGGAAAAACAAAGATGGTTGACCTTCTATCAGGCTGAAACCTTAGCTGGCTTTCAAAGTGCTTACTGCCCTCTGCTGTCACGCAAGCAAACTGCACCCTCCTCTGCCCATTCTCTTACTGCTCTTCTTAATCCAATGCGATTACAATGCGCTCCTCGCTCTCGTATGAGACAATCTGATCTTGCATCCGATTACCCGACTGGGAACTGCGAGAGCGCGGCAGCCATTTGAGAAGTGCGACCACCCGCGAGCGCGAATGCTCTCTGCCAAGCCGGGCGGGAGGATCGAAATGCATACTTGTCGCTGGCTACGAGTTCGCCGATTGGCTGCCAAAGGAAGCATGTAGCGATGCCATTTGTTTTTGGGATTCTGACCTTGAGCATAAGACTCTGCCGCGTTTGGGGCTCAGTGCCCTGGCCAATCTGACCTGATCCAATCACTGTACAGAACTGGAGCGTCACATTTCACAATCACCTCATACTCAGGTTCCCCTGCATGCTTTGGGTGATTATAGTGACATCACGGCCGACTTAAACAGAATACACCTGTTCAGCTAGAACCCCATTCTTATACAGAGTACAGGGCCACTTGATTCCTTGCCTAAGCTCTCACCTCTATCCAAGATCAACCTACATCCCAGATTCTAACAGAAAACAAGAAAACACAGGTAGATGTAATGTTAGAGACAGCGAAACGTGTCCCTTTGTTACAGTAAAAGCCTTTTACTTGTGTGCTCCGGGCTCAGTGCAGTGCGGTATCACAATCTGTCGTGGCGATGCTTCCTATTTAAACAGGAGGGCGGGCTGATGTTTCGGGGGGGGGGGGATCTATTGTGCTATGAGCTAAAAGGGAGAAAACCGGGCTGGAAAGCGGATATGAAGTTATGGAGAAGCGTTTGGGAGTGGAGGAAGGAGTGTGGATGAGAAGGGGGGGGCAGCTGATGGGGGAATTAAAGAGAATAAAATGCTTAAAGACAGCTGTATGTAAGTAATAAAAAACAAACTGGATGGGGGGCGGAGAGTGGGGGAGGGGGGGCTAGTCAGATTTGTCCCCGTCGTCGTCGCGGTGATTGTCGCTGCCCTCGCGGGCCGCCTTGTCCTCCTTGGCGAGGTGAGCCTGAGAGGCCAGGATACTGGAGAGCGAGAAGAGCCCCGAGCTGGAGGTGACGGCGGGCAGGGTGGGGGGCGTGAGGCCCAGAGGGAGGGGCGTCATGGGCAGAGCCAGACCCTGGAGCTGAGACAGCTGGTGAGCTTGGAGCTGCTGCTGCAGACAGAGGCGTGGGGACAGGGCTCAGCAATCAGAAAGATGACCCCCCCCCCCCCCACTGAAAGGTGAAGACAGCATGTGTGAGAGAGTAGCATACCCGGATGATGGAGTTCATCTCCGGGGGAGTGACCTGTTTGGCTCGTTCAATGGCTCCCAAGACCTGCTGCTGATGCTGAGAGACACACACACACACACACTGAGCACATCTCTGTGACACAGCAACAGCAAAATAAAAACAGTCTGGGCAAATATTTATGGAAAGAAAGGCAGTAACACAGTACAGGGGGATTTTTATACCTCCTGGGACAGGTACGGGAGCACCTGAGCACAGATCCCGTTCAGTCTCTTGACGATCTCCGCCTGCAACCGGGGGGGCAGGAAGCAATAGCCATTAGGCTCACGCCATCACCGCGAGACACAGACACAGGTTTGTAATTATATCTTTGTGGGGACTCTCCATTCATTTCTATGGGGAAAACTCTAATCCCAACCTTAACCCCTAACCCAGCCCTGACCGTAACCATAAGCAACCAAACAAAATATGAGACTTCAGGTGTTTTTAGTTTGATTGCATTCACAGGTCTTTGTGGGGACTTGAAAAATGGTCCCCACAATGTCAAAACAACAGGGCTTTATCACATTTGGTCCCCACGATGTAATATAACCCTAATCCACACACACGCACATGCCAGCTGGCTCCCAGCGTACGGCATTTATTCGAAGCCTGTCAATGCCAGGAAACCGAGGAAGGTGCCCTTACATGTCAGTCCCCCGGTGCACACGTTACCCACCACACTCTGGTTCCCGTGTGACTTCTCTGAATTCTATTAGTTAAGACCCCACAATGTAATAATTCTAAAAATGTACGTACACACACACACACACACACACACACATACGCAGACACACACGCATGCACACCCACACACACACACACACACACACACACACACACACACACACACACCCACACAGACTAAACTGAGTAGCTGATACAAACAGAGACACCTGGGTACTTAAACAGGCGTGATACACACAGACAAACACACACACCTGCCAGCAAACTAAATCA